TTTTTTTCCCATCGTTTTGACTTTTATGCTCTGCGTGTATTGATATTTGTTTTTGCGACAAAATGGTAATTAAACTTGATTAATAGTATCTTTATACATACAGGTGTCATAACAAGATATAAATATATTTTAACTCAGAAAATATGAAGGAAAAAAGTAACTCACTAGGGATAAACATGGAAACAAATATTGAAAAGAAAAAAGGGAAGCATAAATCGAAGGGCGCCCAGACGAGAGTAGCACGAAAAATTCCGCTCATCCCCGTCCGACAAACTCACCCACGCTCGATCGAAAAACAAAAGCGGCCTCGCTGAATAATAATTTCAAAAACGAAAAGCAAAAAAAAGAACACGTAGCACCGCCCCCTCGTTCGCTTCGTCAAATAAATTTCATCCGAATTCAATTCATACGCGATGTTGCACGTCCTCCTCCCGTCGCAGTAAACATAAACGACGAGCCAGCAGCAGCCACCTCCGTGGAATGGACGCGAAAGAAACAACAACCGCGTGGGTGTGGCGGTACAGTGCTCTGGTTGAAAAATAAAACAGCCAAGATCGAAAAATCGACCCTTGTTTTTGCGTGCGCGCACATAACTTGTGCAGGTACACGCGCGTCAATATTGCTCTCGCGACGCGCACGCGGCAGGGGCCCGAGCTCTGAAATATGACGCGGCAGATCGCACAAATCTCCGAGCGATTTATAGAGTCGGAGATGGGGCGCTCGATATGGAAAATAGAAATTCACTCCCACAGAAAACATTTGCAGAATTTTTTCGGCTTGACTTTTAGAAAGTCGGTGGTGGTGAACTTATGCCCGCTCCGAGACCAAGTTTGGGCACTGCTCATCACGTTTTAACGTAACAGAGTGCTGTTTTTTTTTAGTTTATGAACAAGGAGAAAATCACTACTGTAAAATGAATAACTTGAAAAAAGTGCAAACAGTACCACCGCAAGGTAACAATAAATCACTCTTTTTTGAAATTTAAATTTTACCATTTTGTTCACTCTTGCATTATTGGCGTGAATTTTCTACTTACTCGGATTATTCGCTAATTTTCGAAAGAAAGAAGGCGTAAGTATACCTCTGCTGGCCTCGAAGGGTACGAGAGGAGGGAAGCGAGGTATGAAAATGGGAGACGAGCAGAAAAAAGGGCACAGAACTTTAACAATCGTGCGCTGTTCCATGCACGGTAGGACTGTATGGCAGTCACGTACTGCTCTGTGGACACTTTTAACTTTCTATTTGTACACTTTGCCCTGCGTGTGGGTGTAGGGACTACGAGCTGATTTGCTCACGTCAGCTACACTCTTTCACTGTTCCGTAATACTATTTCTCATACGCCTATATACACATACAAAAACTATATCGTAATCCACAAGCCCATACTACCGATTCCCAAATTTGCTGCATAAGAGAGGAAAAGAGAGGGTCGTAATTCATCCTCGAACCGTATAAAAAAACGTAACTACCGTGGAAGGGTCGAAAAAGTGAGAAAACAAATGATTCCGGAGTCACATATCACACATGGAGTGCAAATTCAACCGGTCAGTCTCCCTTACATATCCGTCCCATCAACTCTCGCGCACTGTAATACGATGGATCGGATAAGTCAGCAGAGAGACGAGGAATAAGGGACCCAAGGGGGTGGAAGCGCAGGAAAGCCCTTGGCTTTCGGGGGGCCTCCCTCTCGAGAGGGAGCAATGTTTGCTCTGTCCCTTTCCGCCGCCTGGCTTTCTCTCTGTCTCTGCTTGTTTTCCCCGTTCCTCCGCGACCGGTGGGATCCGATTTACGATTCGGGCGCGTCCGGTCAGAAAAATAGGGATCGCGTAGAGAAGGGGGGTGGGGTTACCCATCCTCCGGCTCGCCCTCGGTATTCCGTTCTGCTAAATATTCAATAAACGCGCCCATTATTCTCATCACGTCGTGCACGCCCCCCCGTCGTAGGCGGGAAACCAAGAGAGGAAAATGAGAGATTACGAGGACGAGTGGGTCTAATTTGTCTCTTTTTGCGCGTACAGCGTACGAACTTGATGGTTGCTTTGTTGTAACCCAACTATTGTAGACAAAAGAAGGCGTGCATATACCTACACGAAATAAATAAACAAATCGACGATCCGTTTGTACGAGAAATCAAGTTGATCAACGAGCCACAAAATCCAAGCGGACGATATCGATTAAACTGTTACACGGTGCACGTAGAAGAAGCAGCTGGGAAGAAACAAGTCGGAAAAGCTTCTCGGGAGTACGCGTACGTATAGATATATACATACACAACAACAGCAGTCGGAAGGGGGGAAAGCATAAAATTCAAACCCGAGAAAGATCCTCGCCCACGGCGTCTCGGGGCTATCCGTTTCTTCCGTTCCTCTGGCTCGCCGTGCATTATGTAGCAGAAGCTCGCGCTGGCGGGATTGAGCTCGAGAGGGGAGGGGGAAAAGATGCTGTTTATCCCCCAGGATTACAAGTCTCGGCTCTGCGCATCCATATTCCGTAATTTGCTCTCGCTTCTCGGCAGCTGTGTAAGAATGAGGGCACCTTCGCTTCGGTGTGAGTATCTACCGCGAGAGTTTCTTTCCTTGCGTTTTCGCGCAACGCAGACACCTGTTCTTTTATTTATCCACCGGGCGAGCCCTTTCTTTTTTCTATCTGTGGAAAAATATACAGTTCGACGATTGCGTAAGTGTCTCTCTCTCTCTCCCGACCGAGCTTCTGTCTCCTTGAATTATTCCGTCGGGCCCTCTGGACGAGCTGGCGTCTGGGTAACGGAGGTGGCACTGTGGGAATATACCAGACTTTTCTCCTTTTCTTGCGGTACGAATGCCAATGGTATTTCTTACCCCCAACACTCGGATTACACTCACACAAATTTGTGGATTATTCTAGATTCAATTAATTGCAATTAAAAGCGTCAGGAGGTATAAGAGACAGGAGTAGCTCCCTCTAATCCCAACTTGTCTCATTTGCACGACTATTCTTTCATACCGTAAGAGTTAAATGTCTTTCTTTTGTTTCTATTTTTACTGTTTCACCACGTCCATTAAAAAATTCACCAAAGTTTTTTACACACGCGTCCAAAAATTCCACTTCACCGAATGACGATCAGACCCGCAAGGTATATATGTATTTACAATAAGCGCGACAGCGACGAGCGGAAAATTCAAATCGTCCCCGTGGCTCTGAATAATAAACACGCATGCATGCGCCTCGACGAAGCAAAAAGTCCCACGCTTATTTTTCTTCCTCCCCTCCCCACTCGCCCCATCCAAAGTTACGTTTCTTTGCTCTCTCGTTACGCCCGCACTTACGGGTAACAGGGCCGCCTCGTGAATCCCAAGTTGTTCCTGCTCGGCTCTTCTACTCCCCTCTACCCTGGCACTTTTTTTCCTTCTTCTTCTTCTTCTTCCGTCGTGTTGTTCTTTACGAAGAGAAGGAAAAAACCGAGGGGAACGCGCGCGAAAAGCTTACCCGTGTATTTGCTCGATAAACCACCACCGGTGGGTCGTTTATTTTACTCTTGACGCCGGGCGGCACCCATTGGGCTATATACTCTTTCTCTCACTCTCTTTCTCTCGAGTGCGCGCGCCTAATTTGAAGAAAAGGAGAGGAGGAGGAGGAAATAAAAGGAAGTGCGCACACGCGAGCTGCCGTGAATCGCAAGTCGCTAATGCGGAGGCAGCTCGAAAGAAACGCCGCTAATTCAAGTAGTCGCCGCACCAGGGGATTTCAATCAATTGAATCCTTAATAGATTTTTTTTTGTATTTATTTTCATTATAAGAAGAAACTCAGCTAGTCCATGACGTTACCATTAATAGTAGAAGTGAAAAAAGTAGCACAGTTACAATTTCGTAACGAGCAATGGCACAGTGGACCGAGTACTCCAAATACACAAATAATGGCCCAATTAGTCAAATTGAATGGGCGTTAATAGTATTACACCGGTCGTAATAGAAACCGAGATGGCGATCGAGTATTTGTTTTTCCATCGGCATCGCATTTTCTTTTCTTCGATCATATCACATGGTACACCCCCTGCGGTCACACGCACCGCCAATACACAGTCTAATAAAGTTTGTCCCGAATTAAAAGCTCGTCGTGGCATTTGCATGTTATTACCTTGTTTACATATATTTATGCCGGCAGCAGTAGCCGAGCGAAGGAAGGTGAGAGTTTGCACGGTCGGACACGACGTTTCGCTCCATGTTTCGAACAAAGTGCGAGAGAGGAGTGTGTATACACACGACGAAATCATCCCCCTAATCCACGGCAAACTTCCTCCCGGGGCTCTGGGCTTTAATATTAGATTAGGCGCCTCCCCCCACCTCCTCTCCCAACGCTACGTGTACACGGTGCGAGAGCACAGAAGTTACGCCAGAGCTGTCGGGGTGACGCCGACTGTGTGTGTGTGTACACTCTGTACACTGCTGTGTATTAAAGCTAGAGGCGCTTGGAGGTGAGTCTGGGGGCATACGGTCCAGCGTTTTCCGATGCTTTTACGACAGTCACCTCTGCACGGCTTTGTTGCGGGCCTGTCGTTTATTTGGGATTTCATGGGTGTTGCGGTACTTACCACTTTCACATCGTCTGATGGAGCTTTTTTTTTTTTTTTTTCTTACAGTTTTTAATTTTTTAATTTTTTAAGCTCGACAAAAACGTGGAATAGAATTTTTACATTTGTACATACTGAATGTCAACCAGTGGTAGAAAAACTGCTATGTCTCACGATAAGGATCGATTATAGTTCATATATGTTCGAAAGAAGGGTATAAAGCTCTTTAAACAACTTTCAAAATGATTCACGTAATTGTAAAATCAATGTATGGTATAGTGTAAGTACCTACTACGAGCTAGTACATTTTGTTTGCTCGAAAATCAATATAGGGAATCAATATGGAATGAAGGTGTAGGCGAAGTATCAATTTTCTCGTATTGTGCAGTATGAGTAAAATCTTACCATACATGATGTAATGTTTTGGCGTTTTACGTGGAAAGGAAAATTTACCTGCTTGTGCATCTCGACGTTGAGGCCGTATGACATTTCGTAGTACTGAAAAAAGACAAGAAGCACAATTTTAATACATATTTTGCCCAACGTTTATCATACAGTACGAGTACGTGTTGTAGTTGTGTGTTTGAGAAATAAAAAAATTAAAGTAACAAGTGCTTTGTGTTGAAGTGCTCGTGATGCAAAACTCGTGCAGTGTACTCTTTCACATGAAAAAAAAAACAAAAAAACTTGTGAAGTAATTATTCAAGCAACCTTGAATTATTAATCCACAGCAAGCTACGTATAAAAACCAACTTTGCTGAGCGTACAATTTACTGTATAAAAACAAAAAAGTCGTGCTGTATGGAATACAATAATCACTCAGGTGTAATCATAACTTTATCGGCATACAAGAGCAGCTCTTAGAAAATTTAGAATAATGAAAAAAAAATAAAAATAAAAAAAAATCACCAGCCTCACCATATGGTTCGATACAACACACATTGAGGACCGATCGCCGGTTTTACGATAACAAGCAAGCAAGTACGCAGGATTTTAACGGCTTGGGTCTCGCCCGAGCTCATTGGCTGTAAAGGTCAGCGGCGGCCCAGGCTAGCGTTTACTGCTCGGACGGCTCGTAAAACCCGCGCTCTTCTTCTGCAGCGGCGTTGCGACGCACATAAACGTCGTGCAGTAACGCGTTTCGCGAAAACGCGGCGAGAGAAAGGGGAGGACCATAAAGGCAGCTCGACTTGCTACTGCTGTTGAGGTGATGTATGCGTATACAGCAGCGCCCCGACGCGTAATGAAAATGAACGGCCACCGTGGTTGGAGTGCCCGAGGGGAGGAGAGGCTTGTCCGCGAAATCGTGGACTGTATGGGCACGCCGGTAGCTTAAACGACGCATACGGTTTATGCCGCGACTTATGTACTCGTGTGCCCCGAGAGCGAGAAAAGCCGCTTTGCAAGTGTGTCGTCGTTCTGATACTCTTTTTTTCCCTTCCCTGAGATACGAGCCTGGCTTTGTACTTTTTCTGTCACAATTGATATGAATGAGCTTTTTTTTTTTTTTTTGAAGATTCTTGGCGTTGGCGAGAAAAAAAAGAAATTCACAACAGACTGTAGGTCTTTCGTGGTAGGAACTCTAGAACAGCGTGTCCATTTTACTCAGAAAAAGCATAAACCATTCGATACGCCATTCACCCCCTTGCTCGCTCCATTTTCTTTTCGATACATTTTTCATCCAACTCTAGCATTTCTCGAAAGCTGAAGCTCAACAGTGCAGTCAGAGTAGCATTCCTCTTTCCCGGAGGATCCTGTACTGCAACGATGACGAAACCATTGAATCGATACCGCGTCGCCGAGGCCAAATTAAATATTTCCAATTTCCGTCTGACCCTCCCTGCGTTTATGTGTCAAACAAATGGGGGGAGGGTCTCCACTCGGAATCACTAGCTATTTGCGGATCGTTCGATACTACGCTTGGAAAAGAAGGGAAAGGTTTCGAGGTAAAAATAACATCCTCCGCTTTTGCCGAGGCTGTATTTTGGGCTCGTATACGTGTTTACACCCATACGCGTACGTTGGCATTCGCACGCCGAACACCTCAGCCAAAAAAGGCTATTAAATTTGGTTTCGAAAGAGCTCCGAGCATCCACGGCGATTTTCCAAAATAAATCCCCCATTGTTTTTTCAGCAGCTGCGGAAAAAAAAGCCGAGCGACCGCGTGAAAATTATTTATCGGCAGAGTTCACCGTTATGCCCGTAAACTGCAATTTATTGTTCGCGGCGCAAATAAAGCCCATATCCATAGGAGGAAAAAAAAGGACCATCGCGAAATTCCAACGAATAATTCCGCGAGTCAACTTTCTCCTCTCGGTAGCACAATATCTCCGCAACATCTGTTACTTACAGAGCAGCAGCAGTTTATCGTAAAGAAGTCAATGCCCCCCCTCGTGTGTATGTGTAGTATAAGCTCCTCGCGAAAGCCATACAGCACTTCCTCAACGGCAACAACATCGCGGACCCGAAGATGCAGTAAACTCGGAGCTGCTGACAAGCCGAGCGCGGGATCGTAAGATGCAAAGTTGAGCCAACTATTTCCGAGGCCGTGTAATATACCCGGAGAGACGGAGCGCGAAATCCACACCGCTCGGATTCTCCTCCTCCTTTTGGCCGTGTTAATTGGATCTTAATTAATGGACTCCCACCCGCGGGGCGCCTCGAAAAACACGGAGCCCTCCTTCCCCGCCTCCTTTTTCTCTTTGACTTGATTATACACTGCTGCTACAATGTACGTTTCGACGAGTTGAATTTTCGTACTTACTAATTTCGAATGCCAAGTCTTAAATCACGCCCCGAAGCTGGAGGAGATTTTTGCAGTTCCCTCCACTGCGCGCAATTTAAAGTTATACTCGCTGGTATAAATCATAAGGCCGATTGTTCCCCCCCCCCCTGTGAAATGATTCGTGGTACCGAAAAAGGTTTTTTTTCTGTTGATTGTTCGATCGTATTGCGTGTACACGGGTAAGTAAAATCGTGCTTGGCTATGAATACACACACGCATACTGGATAGAGTGAAAAAAAAAAATTCTCGTTCCAACCTTAATTACATACGTATACCTATACCCACTCCCTGTTCGCTCGTATTGTATGAAAAAACACACTTCCGTATTTACACCAGCGACACGTTATCGCCCACAGAGACAATTTGATAATACACCTGTATCTCTGTATATTAATGATGTAAGTGAGCAGAGCGTCACGAAAAAGACGGAATTTAATTACGCGTTTAACCTACTGAAACTTTCGTCCCCCTCTTTTGAGCAAAAAAAAACAAACTTTGTTTCTCCCCTCGTATACGACAAATAAAATATTCCACGACACGAAAATCCATTGAAACACAAAGGAAGCAGCTAGGACACGCGAACGCCCACCTATTATGTATATATTATACACTCGTATGGGCACGAGAAGCACAGAGACTAGCCTCGACCGACCCTATATCATCCCTTTCCCGATCCACCCCTTATAGCGGAGAATATTGACTTTCGCGCTGGAAGGTAAATCGAGAACGTCTCTCCCTTTCTCATTCTTACCTCTCTCGCAATAAACAGATCGGCGCCGATAGCAATCAACGATCTGTGTCGCGATGGTAAGAAGGTCCCGCACGAAGAAGAGAGCGAGGCAGAGGAGGGGCGAGTAATCAGAGCCGAGAGACTAATGGAGGCTCTGTGTCCTTACCTCCTCTCCCGGCGTAACTTCCCTGCGAGATGCCTATCGAGAATTCTCCTTCTCTCTCTTCACCATGTCTGCTGCTCCTCCGAAAGCTCAGGTGAGCCTTTGTACGTACAGCTACACAAGTGAGCAGCGACAGAGGTGGCTCTCGAGGGGTGTCAAATTATTTATTCCCTCTTTAGCCGGTTGGAAGTGAAACTTTTGCAGCAGAGTGGCTATTGTTTCAAAAGTTGCATTTATCTTTTCCCTGACGCGTTTGTGCCCGTCTCTTCATTTTTTTCTCAATACGCACCGAAGAGAAGCGGTAGTGTTTTTTAACCAGACCAATAGATTGTCTCGAAAAAAATCACATAAAACACCGCTTGAACGAACCTTCAAAATCGCCAATTGCTTTTGCACGATCATCATCCTGAATACAAGCGAGAAAGCGGCAGTCAAATCAACGCAAATGACCCTCCCACCCCGTCCTAACGAAATCACTCAGCTCGCACGTGCGTATAAACAGCCGGCAGCAGCCGGGTAGAGAGAGGGAGAGAGCAAGCATGTGTATGTGCGTGTGTATACACTGGCCAAATCACGCCACAGAGCCGCGCTTGATTGTTTAATTAGGAGGCACCTGCGGAGGCCGCAGACAATATACACACATACACATGGGCGTGTTCGCTGTATACCCACACAATAGCACGTTGGACCGATGCACCTCGAAGCGACTTGTTGCGGGGGCCCAGGCACGACCTCAACTCCCCTCCTCCGCCTTCTCTTCCTGTTCTATAAACCGATGGCCCGGCAACTTGCAAATTTCGACCCAGATTGGCTTCCCTCTCTCGTACGCCACCCTTTGCTCTACCCGTTATATACACGTGCACGGCGAGGGATAAATTTGGCTGGCCTCTCTCAGCTCGCGTCGTCGATTTAATCAAGAAAAACAAGCTCGTTATTACGGTGGAAGGAAGCTCGGAGAAAGACGTGAGAGAGAGAGAGAAACCGTCGATTTTCTCCCTCCATTTTGTCAATAGATTTCCGATAATGGATTTGAAACGGAAGCGAGAACATTGCACAACTAATTACCCGTCTATTAATTCCTAGGAAGATAAAATTCAATCATGAAAGATTTTTTTGGTGCTTTACTCATTGAAGTATTGATTATTTTGGCATTGCCGATCAATTGGTACTTTTACGGAAAATGAGTGTCACCCAACTCAACACCACCAAATGATGATTCTCAAGTAGAACAAGCTGTGTTTGGTAAGACGCGTCGATCCTAAATCTCTCGAGAAAAATAATACGTTTCTTCGTCGGACGTTGGGGAGTATCATGGAGATAAAAAACAATCAGAGTTCCGGTGATCGGTGATAAGCCATTGGGAAGTAACTTGCTGCGTGTGCACGACACTCGAATTGAATACAGGTAAAATCGAGAGATGCTTCAACGCATAGCGACAGTTGTTGTGCACGAACGTGCGTTGGAACAGAGATAAGGTAATCGAGCGTATCAATCTCGCGAAATTAATACAGGCGGGGATCAAGTCGCGCGTTGTCAGTCCCGGGAAGAGCGGAAACTCGATATAGAGAAGACAGGGAGAGGTGTATCCAGAGATACGGGGGGGGGAGAGAAAGTGATCTTCTCGCCGGCTGTGTAAACGCTAGGCGTGAGAGACGAGACACGGGTAAGCTCGTGCTGGATGCGATAGGTGACAGCAGCAGGAGACCGTGTACACGTGTGTACACGATTGGAGGAGAGAGATCGAAGCTAGTTCAGCATCGCTAATTAAGACGTATACGCTCGCACGCGTGGATTGTGATGGGAATATAGTACGAGGGGAAAGCCGTGACTCGTACCTATCTGCAATGTGCTCAACAAATGTTCAACAAATCGCGAAAGGTTTTATTTATAACTTGTCCGTGTGTATGGCGATGCTGCTGCCGCTGTTGGTAAAAGTTTGGGAGCAAATAATGAGAGTAAATATGCATTACGTGCCGGCTGAAATGAAAAATCGAATAGTAAGTAATAATAATGAGAGTCGTAAAGTCGCACAGCCAGTGATTTGTGATTTAATTAGTTTGTAGATTTTTAAACGACGAACAATAAGTTATAACTTACCATGTAAGTGGCACTCGAGAGAGATGGAGTTTATTTGGCGTCCATGCAATTGTATTTTCTTTCTTTTTTTTTTTTTTCTTTTTTTTCTTTTTTTTTACAGCGCTCGATCACGCCTACCACGTTGCGATGATAATCCGGCTCAAAAGCTTCGAAACAATGGAGTAGATCAAACCCGGGAGATAGTAATCAATTAAAATGAATGATCACAACGGGGGAGGAGGGATGGAAGGCGCATTGTTATCCATCTCTCTTAATAGTGGAGCGCGTATTTCGAGATTGTTCCTCGAAGGTGTCGGAACACTCTTGCCTTATCGATGAATCATAGAGCCCGCGATTGCGTTGGCCAGATACTTGTATACACGCCGTCCGTATCTGTCCATCGCTGCTTTCCGCTGCTCAATTAATACAGTCAGTGCGAGGCTTATTTATTTTTTTTTTTTCCTCCACTTCTGTTTTTTCCTTCTTGCTTAATTTATTCTCGAGCGGAGCAAACTAATTAGATATAAATTGTAATCAAACAGGATAACGATTGATTTACATCATATCGACGCCTGTGTGGAGCCGGCGATGGGGAAATCACCGGGTTGTGTCTGTATGGGTTGATTTATTGTGGCCAATCGAGCCATGTCGAACGAAAAATAATCGTAAACAGACCCCCTCGATAGCCATCTGTAAATAATTGATTCAACTCGAGCTGCTGCTGATTATCGTTGGAAATCAATTAAAGCTACATTATCCCCCACTTATTTTTTCTTGTTTTTCTCCTCGATACTTTGCAGCGAGTGTTACGTATTCAATAGAGCACGACTTTTTGTTGTTTTTTTTTTTTTTTTTTTTTTTTTTTTTTTTTTTAATCTTTTGATGTATGAATTTTCGATTGATGAGTCGTAAATTTCCATCGATACTACAATAAATAATCAAATCTATAGGTGCTAGTCAACATACATATTTTAACTAAAAGCACGTGAAATTATGAACATATATAACGTGTATATAAATGTACATGAGTGAAAGTGTGAAAAATGACGAGATGCCGATCATAAGTAGGTGATGGGCGTGTCGGTTCGTACTCACCATGACGTAGTGCCGCTGCATTTCCGATTTCTCCTGGGCTAGCTTTTCCAGGTCCAACTTAAGACTGTACGAAACAAGCAAGGAAAAAAATGCACGTGTAAAAGCTAATAGATATTATTATGTGCAGGCGACAGTCAAAAGCTGCTTAACCACTGACACCGAGAAAAATACCTGCGTCAAAAATTCGTATGCATACTTTGATCCTCGCGAAGGAAAAATAAGCAAGTTAGCATAATATAAAGGCCTGATGTATTTTTTTAATTACTTCGAATAAGCGAATGGGAGACAACGAGCAATAGTTTACTCTTATACAAATGAGTTACGAAACCACGTCCACAGTAGCATTTTTCTCTCGTTTTTTCTCGGTGCCAATGTAGTCATGATGATATAAGAAGAAAACAGAGGAATGAGAGAGAGAGAGAGAGAGAGTCAGGGGGAGCTGTAAATATTAATCGACGAACTGCTGTTGGCGCTGCTTTTCTAAACTCGACAATCGCGTCGGCAAACACCCGTCGTGTGGCGAGACACGGTTAGAAGCCATTGTTTGTTAATCGCTTGAAAATGTCCGACGTGAGAAGTGACCTTTTTACGCTCGCTCACACAGGTATACGTGTACACTTTCACTATACTAGCGCGTTTTTTATTGTACACGCGGAGTTGCAAGCAAGTACGTAGATAATAGAAACGTCGCGTGAATTGTAAAAGCCGTTCTTGCATGTGTTTGCTCAACGGACACGCTTTGTTTGTCGCCGTTTTCTCTACCAGTATACTGGCAACTTGGATTTTCGCGCGATGCTTACGATAGCTTCGGTTCTGCTCAATACAAAAAGCGAATAGTTGAATATCTTTTTTTTTTAACTTTGCAAACATCACGTTAAAAGTACTTTTTTTTTTTCTTTGATTGTGAAATTAAGTAGCATATCCATGTGAAGAAGAGTATACGGTAACTTGGATATCCTGTAAATTGCATAGTTTTTGGAGCGTCAGATGTCGCCTTATTGATCGAGGTTAAAGCATGTAAGAGGGATGAGAAAAAATTAGTAAAAAAAAAAATTAAATAAATAAATAAATAAAATGAACGATCCACAGGCTGATGACGTGTATAGTCTGCGAGTCTCGAGGACGTGGCGATGAAATAATGCGAAAATTGCAATTAAGCCGTCAAATAAAACACACAATTAGTGCAGCCGCAGCAAACATTGATTTATACAACAATTATTATGTACAATATTATTATGTTTAGTGAATGTGAGAAAAATTATAACGATCGATTGTTGTAAGCCTTTTTCTATTTATGTGAATATGATTTGCAATGATTTACCGAGCAATTATTCAATGAATAAACACTTTGCAATACGATAATGAGAAATCAGCGACTCATATCTATTGTATATACAGTTTGGCAAACACTTATGAATGATTATTACTTGTGATTTAAAAAAAAGAAAAAGAAAAAGAAAAGAAATTATTGTGTCTGATGAAATGAAAGAGACAACGTGAATTTTATTACGAGTACGGCTATCTAGAACAACTTTTAATATTTACGTCTACATCGCTATTACGTAGATGAATGAACATTTAATCAACTATTGTATAATGTTTTTTTTTTTATTTTTTTTTTTTTAACAAATATACTTAAAATTTTTACGTGGAAATACAACAAAACATTGAAAAACGTGCCTCTCAACTTCAAGCATCAAATGAAAAAATTTTTACATCAAGAGAAAATTCATTCAAAAATACAGTAACATTACTTTTACAAAATAATACGATTACAAGGTTACTTTTTTATTTAGTTTGGTTTTTTCTTAATTCAACTTTCGTACCAATGCACTTATAAAGAGATGTAATATACAATGATGAAAAAATAATTTAGAAAAAAAAATTGTGTGTAGTAAACAATATTCGTGTTTGACTGTAATTTATGTGCTTCGAGCGGCTTACCATAACGCAATTCCTTTGAATCTCAATTTTTTCACTGACTAGTTTCTCGAACTCCACTTTAAAGCTGCTCGAAAACAATGAGAATATCATCGATTAATAGTATCACCAGATCCTCGAACCTCACGAAGCCAATTGCCTATCGTGGCTTCGTTAATTTTTGTTATTTATTTACTTCTACGTAATCATAAAAATTATTTTGTATTTTCTTTCTTTTTTTTTTTTTTCTTTTTTTTCTTTTTTTTTACAGCGCTCGATCACGCCTACCACGTTGCGATGATAATCCGGCTCAAAAGCTTCGAAACAATGGAGTAGATCAAACCCGGGAGATAGTAATCAATTAAAATGAATGATCACAACGGGGGAGGAGGGATGGAAGGCGCATTGTTATCCATCTCTCTTAATAGTGGAGCGCGTANAATAGTAAAGTAAATAGAACAAAGGAGCGAGCCCTCAACGCTTGCGCTTACGAGCGATGAGAGGCCAAACACACGTTGGGTACTACATTATATGCAGCGAATAGTCGGTATCGTCGTCGTCGCGTTGCCGGGAGTCAAAATGCAAATTTAACGAGCAAAAGCCGATGCGGGTATAAAAAGTCAAAGCGACGCGGTGCTATTGTACATACACATATACATACACACTCGAGCGATCTCTCCTCCTTTGCTTCTCTTTCCATGTGTATATCCGAGCTCCATGTAAATAAGTTGTACGCGAGGGCTGCACACGACGAGGCTCTCCCGCTTGATCCATTAAAACTTGACTGCCTGGCGCTTCTAGAGCGCATACCACGTATACGTGTATAATGGAGTCAGAGCCCCGTCAAAGCAGGAGACCGAAGTGTGCGCGTGTACATGTGTCGCCAGAGCATATAGCTGCACCGAAGGTGAGAGCGAAACACGTACTCGTTCGTATCGCTTCGAGCGCTGATATCTTTGTGCATGTGTTTGCGCGGGTAGGTGGGTGGACCAGTGTGTGTATATATGAACGCGCGCAGGAAAGCACGGCTGGGCTAAGCTCCCTCGAGGCCAGCGACACGAAACCGTAATTTAAGTTTCCGCCGTCGGTCGACCGGTCGCTTGCGAGAGCTTGTATATACATATAATACACACGTCGCTCTGCGCTTTGCGCACAGTGCTTACACCGCACGCGTATATTCTTCGGTGTTGGTGCGTTTTGCCGTTACGTCGAGCCATACATATTCGGCACGCGAATTATCACGTTTCGGCTACTACATTTTTATGAATCTCTTTTGTTTTTTCTAGCAAATATTTCATCAACCACGCGATGTTTGTGAAAAGCTCATGTAGGTGTCGTAGAACGAAAACGATGCCAATCGCTCGGTGCTGCTCCACACAAGACTTGCGTGAAGTTTATTAATGAAACCAAAGGGAACGCACGCGTCCGCGAGAGGTTGCATGAATTATTTCGACGTCCAAAGGCAAGATTAACGATCGATGGCGAATGTGGTGTGGATGGGGGAAAAAAAAAACAACAAACCGAAATTCCCCCGAGGTAATTAAATTTCGATTCGTCACGGATTATTAATGTCCCGGCGAGCGAGCGCGTCTTCATAATCGAATTAATCGCGATTGATTATAATCGCGCGCGCGGGTGTGCACACACGTGTACATACACGCGAGTTCGGAGTTATAAAAAACCCCCTCGTCCGTTTGAAACTGGAGATAATATAAAAGAGAGGAGGAAATAGCCGCGAGTAAGGGGCTAATTAACGTTCGGGGGCATCGACAGCGCGGTTGGGCGGTGAAAAATAGACGAGGGGGGGGGGGGAACCAACCCAACGGAACCGAGAGCAAATTATCCCCGTGCATTTGTTGGCTCCACTTTCTCTCCACGTCTTTCCTCGGTGTATGCCCGATGTATATAAATTAACACTTGCCGCTGCGACAAACGTGATGTAAATCAGCCACACAGACCGATGGTTCTAATGAACCACCTGCCGAAGCCCGAATTGAAGGCTGTGACGGTATGCATGTGCGGACGACTGAGGAATGAATGATGCGCGGAGCCTTGACATTTTTACGCGTATGCGATATCGTGCTCTTTTTTTTTGAGGTTGTACATTTAAACGAGAAATTTTTGTCACTGCAGCAGTACGTGTTATTCGTTTCGAATTGGATAAACCTGGTGTGCCATGATTAATGTTCGAGTGGAGGCGAGTTTAGGAATTCTGATATTTCATTGCTATCGAAGTGTTAATATCTATTGATCACCATTTAAAATTAGTATATCTCGCCTTGCGCATTAAATACTGAGTAATATTAACAAATCAACAATAATCGATACCGCAATGTCAATAAGTCGATAAATTATACGTCTCAGCGAGGAATCGAAAATAAACGACTCACTTATTATAATATTGTGAAGTATCTAAGGCTGTACGACAACCCGAATCATAGTTATCCGTATTCGCGAGAAACTTCAATTTAGTCATCGATTTCCATTATAATTTATTCCTCGATCGTTATCAGCACACGGAAATTACAATAACAGCTTTTACAATAAATGGTCATGCGCTTGATTAAACATCGCCCGGAGAGCAAGCTTTTGATGGTCGGACACGCGCGCACATGCCTATCAAACGGTCTTTCAATCACCCGCCGATGGGCCATGTATACATTTACATTTACCGCTCGGAAGTAACGAAAAATAAAAACACGAGCGAGGATAAATACCGTGGGACGCGGGTAGTCGAGCGGCTGCTGCAAAAAGCCAGAGCGCGAGTCGATGGTGAAAAAAAAATGTCCCCTCCCCGCTCTGTACACGCGAGGTACACGTATCGCGGAGTCAAAAATACCGCGAAGGGGTATTTCAAATTGATACGCAGCAGCTGAAGGACGTGCTGTTGGTTGTGTACAGAAAAACGGAAGGGGAGTGGAATGAAACAAAAAAAAAGAGGTAGGGTGGGGGCTCGAAATTACTCGATCCCAACACCGGCAACGAGAACACGAGAGATGGATTTCGCGGTAGCGTGTACGACAACTTGTTAACCGGCTGCCACTGGCGCGCCGTGTATTTTTCCCTCGTGCCTCGACGATCGATATAATATAAATATATGTACATGGGCCTCCCGACAATTCTTTTTTTTCTTCCACTTTCGATTTGCTGACTCTATTGCCTCGAGCCATTTCCATCCTAAAACCGGAGCGTCGAAAAAATCATTTTAGCTGTACTTTTAGAAGTACATCGTGATCGTCAGGATTATGGCGGTATGTTATAGGCTCGTATATCCGAGAAACTAGACAAACAACACCAGTGACCTGTTACACGCGTTTCAGAGTACAAAATCACGATTCACGTAGCCTCTAAACCCAGAGTATTTATACCTTCTTCTTTTCTGAAAATTCGCAGAAAAAAAAAAAAAAAAAAACCCTGTACATGTACCAACCGCGTTCCGTGTCGCGGTTTATTTTTAGCCTCCACAGCGTTGGTAGAACCACGTAGAGGCACAGAGGAGAAGGTGGAAAGAGGAAGGGCCGAAGGAGCGAGTTACCAGCGCTGCACGCGCAAGTTTGCATAGCTTCCGCTCGAGCAAATAATAAATTAATATTTGCTCACTCGGCTCTCCCTCTCACGCGCCTATACCACCATCGCTACCACGTTAACGGGCAGTCGGCTCGTACGAGAGGCGGAGTCGTGGGCTCATATTTACGCACGGGCGGACAGGTGTTTGTCGTTCGGTGTATGTGTGGGCGCGTGTGCCGAACGAGAGAGAAATAGATGGGCTAAAGGGGTGTGCTTTTCTCTGTCTTTAACTGCGCTCGGCGAAATAGAGGCAGGGAGGAGAGATCTTATCTCGCTCGTGTTTAAAAAGGGCTCGCTCGACGACTTAATTAAGGGAGCGACTCGCGCCACCCCCTTTTTTTCAATTATTTTTCTGTCATGGGACTCTTTAGTATCCCTATTGAAACGACGGTATTCGCGTGAAAATCTTGGCATAACAAGCTTTGGTGTATAGTTGGATGAAATTCAATTTAATCTGTAAAAATCACTCGACCGATTTTCCGTGGGAAATCAAAAAACAATCCGATATTTTTTTCCGTGTGAATATACGTAAAGCCGATCCGCAGCTTTGTTTTATCTACTAGGATGGAAAAAAAAGAAAAATAATAAAATAACAGTTGGCGAGTGTGTGAAATTCTCTCGCACGTATCTTCGGGATTTTAACAAAAATGCTCGGGCAAAACGTTGTCCGGGACGAGGGTAAAAAAAAAAGGTCCCAGTAAAGAGGAGTACGAGAGGAAAAAATGGGTGAGAAACTCACCTGTGGTACTGCGCCTGGAGGAAGCCGAATTCTTCTTTGATTCGGTCGCAGTTCTCCAGTATTGTGAACTTGTATGGCTGGCCGGGCTGCGGTGGTACCTGCAACAGGCAAACAGAGCGTGGTCATTAAACAATGCCCAAGCCTCAAAATCAACACCACCCTGACCCATAAAATTTTTTTATTCAACGTCTTGTTTGAGAATATTAGTGTCCTCCTGAACAAATGGGTAAAATATTATTTTTCTTGCTGTTTTTGTTCCTACTGATTATCAGGTAATTTGTGTTATTCTCTACTCTAAAACCTTTTATTTTTTAATACAACAGGGTAAAATTTATGTAAAAGAAATGGTATTTTTTATTACACGACTTGATAACTAGTAAATATTCATTTCACAATAGCACCAATCACACATAAATTTGATTTATCATCATTCCTTCAGAGTACTACAGTATTGTTATTGTATTAAAATGCTTCATTGACGTTAAAATTAATTTTTCAATACATAGAATTGCACATTTGCAATAGGAGACACGAATATTATTTTTTTTCTGTATAAACGCTCATGTGATGTTGATCAGAAAATTTCAATTAGAATTTTCGATTGGTTCAGCACCTCTACAAAATATATCACGTTAGCTTACAAAAAAAAGCCACCCCTAATCATGAATAATCATGCAACGTATCAACCAAAGTATTATCATATTTCTCCTGCGAAAAAGGGGGAAAAAAAATAAAAAATAAAAGTACAAAAAGCCAGGAACAAGCTTTCCCATAAATCCGTCACCACCGCGCGCAGCGGCACAGTAAATACGGCCAAGCTAATTTGAATATCCCTCGGCTGGAAAATAAAAATAAAACGCCATCCCTTTCCTCCCCCTGTTCCACGTATCCCCGGCAATTTTTCAACGCATCAACGCGAAAATCGTGTTAAACCATGTGTCGTACGTACATACGTACACATATAGTATAGGTACACACGCTTAAACGAGCCTTCGCACGCACGAGCGCGCGCGGCACGTCAACAACATCACCACCTCTCCCTACTCTCATCTGCATAATTTTGATATAAAAATATACCCACATCCTCACCCACACCTACACCTTATCTCCTCAGCTTCGTACGAAGCCAAGTTGCAAAAAAAAAAAAAAAAAAAAAAAAACAGAGTGGAAGACGAATAAGAGAGAAAATCGAGTGTGAGCTGCGACTCAAGCCGCGTATTAATATTTATCATCCGAGCTGAGCTCACCCCCACACATGCGTGTAACACGTATGTATTTTGTGCTCTCTTGATTTCCCTCTTTTTTTTTTTTTTTTTTCTTCTCCAACAGTGTACATACACACACGTACGCGAGCGATAAAACTCTCCCGCGAGAAAACGAGTGGAAACGCCGTAAAAGCGACTCGCTCGTAAATCTCCCACCCCAAGTGATCGGTCTTTACGCCTCTTGCCCTCCTCCTCCTCCTCCACCTCCTTAGACCGCGTACACTCGTTTTAATGCACACTCCTTCTCGATCTCCTTTTTTTTCCTTTATACACGCATTCGCACTTCGTCTCTCGCATGATCGTTTCCTTCCTCGTACAATCACTACTTCCTTTTTTTTTTTTTTTTTTTTTGCGGCCATTTGCTTCCATACCTTGTCTATGAAAAAAAAAAAAAAAAAATTTCCTTACCCATACTGTAAATACAGAAAACCGCGGTCGGGTTTGGTCAACTTTTTTTTTTTTTTCGTGCCCCGCTCGGTTTTTTCACTCCACGCATCAGCGTCTTGTAATGAGCTGTAATTACGTGATAGCAATGAGCAAAAGTAGCGCTCGAGCGAGCGGGCCGAGTGAAAAGTGTTTACTGAACTGTAAACGTCTTGGTGGCACGAAAAAAGAAAAAAAAAGAGAGAGAGGAGTTAAAAGAAATGAGCGAAGCGAGGGAACACAAGTTGCAGGAAATTATGGCGTTTTATTGTGACTCCGTGCGGTGCGTGTGTGCGGTTTAATGGTCGAAGAAGAAGGAGAAAAGGGGGAGGAAATAGCGAGAAGGAGTCCGAGCGTGTAATTTAGCGACCGTTACCGCGTAATGCCGTGGTATTAACCTAATTATTACACGCTGACTAGCTTCATATTATTGATTGTTGCGTGTGTCTCTCTGTTTTTTGCTTGTGTGCGCACACACGTGAGCAGCCAACTTTCCATTGTTCTTCTTCCGCTTTTTCTTCGTGAGCCGATAATTTTACCGACAGGGGCTAGCATACAATAAATAGCTGACGGCCATTATCGTATAAATGTGCTGTTGTACGTACCTTTGTTTTGGTACAATCGTGCTTATTAAATTTTTCTGCGCCAAAATGGGGCTCAAAAACCAATTCTGTTGTAAAAAAAATTTTTTTTTAATGGTAAAAACATCATAGCAGACATAATAGTTGATAATCGATTGTTTGTTCATCCTATCTGAAATCCAGACGAGCAAACGGTGCACACGTTACAGCTTCCCATTAAAATCGGCAAAGGAGTACGCAAAGTATATAATATCTCCCGCATGTTATTCCAGTGTAAGTACATCAGTTGGGGGAGGAGGGGGGTGCTCGCAACAGTATCACATTCACACAACACAAGCGAAGCCAAGGCGGCTGATACGCCATCTGCAAAGCCGATCAGATAAAAAGGTCAGAGGAGGAGGAGGAGGAAGAGGAGGAAGAACCGCCCGCAGCCCCCGGGGCCACGCGAATTCAGCAATACTTTTCTATCGTAAATTAACGGTCCCGCAAACTCGAGGGAGAACCAGTGCAAAAGAGAGCATATAGACCGTATCTGCTCCCCGAGCGCGTGTACAGCCCCTCCACCACCATAATTTGTAGCATCTTCGGAACCACGAAGGAGGAAGAGGAGGGAACCGCATCGGAGATAAGCATCGCGCACGTACGCGGACCCTAGAGCACATCAGCCATTTGGCGATCGCTCGCGTGACTCCTCCGACACGCCGATGCTTGGTGCGCACCGCACTGAACTCTCTTGTGTGTGTGTGTGTCTGAAGTGGAGGGTGGAGAAAAACAAAAATGAGCAACAGTTGTGTCTTTTTGCACGTGCACGCGTGTGTGCACTGTATAAGTAGGGGGGGGGGGAATAGATAAAGAGACCACTTCTTCGAGGTTGGTGCACGCGCGATGAGCCGGCGTAGATGAAATGTGCGCCCGGAGCCTTAGGTAATATCGTTACTCACGCCCGCGTTATATCGATCGCGGCACTTCTTCCGTCCTGCCTCTCTTCGATGAGCTGCTGTAACTAAGGACATGACCTATGGCTGGAAACCACGTACTCATTAGTACTGTACGAATTTATGGATAAACTTGATTACATGTAGATCATCTATAGGATTCAACTCGTTTGACTTTCGAGGGCGATTTCCATTAAGATTGTCAATCCTATACCGATCATCGGGTAATAACACTTGTACACCAGCTAATTGACTCTGAAGAGAAAAAAGAAAAAGAAAAAGCATGTACGAACAGTAAGGTTTCAAAATCGATTTCCATCGTTACATGTACACACCAAAGCGGCAGCTTATGTAATACCTGTACAGTTACGAATCGGAAATTCAGTAGAGCGCGAAACAACTTCGCTACATGTATATATAGTACACCTATATATCCGCTCACTCGGCTAATGGCGGATCTAGTTATTAGCGCGATTGAGCGTGTCGATGGCAATACCGATGTATACCAGCCGACTCGCGCGAAATTTCGCTCCGAGCTATTACCCGATCGGCCGATTGATTCTCGCGAAACCCATCGGCCGTTGCTGTCTGCTTTCCAACCGATTTTTTTTTTTTTTCCTTTCCACCGACGGGTACAGGAAATTAGCACGCCGCCACGCTCCACTGGCTCTCTCTACGCGTAGCTGCTGCCTCTGTACTATATATAATCTATTTACCAACCGCGGCACTTGCTCATTAATGCAGTTGGCGTTGCTTAACAGCCACTCTGTACATTTATTATCAATTTCATCGAGCCGAACACCGATCGTTGTGGTTAAATATATTATATTATTACCAAACAACCACCTAGTTCGTACTGGAATTTCTCGTTCGTACGCAGATACGACGTATCACGGGCCCGTTTTCGCGTTAATTATCGCACGTCAAAATTAATTGAGTTATATACCTGCAGTATCCGATTCTGAGCAATTTCACCTGCGATACATTGCCCCTTTACACAAATAAATGCAACTGCAAGACTATACAAGGTATTTTACCATTCATACACGTAGGTGGCCGGAGAAAAGAAAAAATACGATCTCGAAATCGAGCCAAAGAAAATTCAATCGTGGATGCATGGATGGGGTGCATGGAAGTTGGAGAGGGAAGGGGGGCAAAAAAGATTAGTACAAAGGGCGATTCTCGAAGCTCGGCGCCAAGAACGTCTTTACAGCTGTACATCGTATGTGTACATAACTATCTACAAGTTCGTTATCGGGTCTTTGCCTGTATTTTTATCTCCGCGGTGTACACGCGAGATGGTAGGAATCGAAAGCCAAACACGTGTAAAAGCGCGCTACCTCGCTTCCGGCCGGCTGAGCACATCGAGCAAGCAAGCACAAGCAAACGCGATGAGAGAAGCGGCCGAGAAGGATGAGGTGGTGGAGGAGGAAAATGAGGTGGTGGAGAGACCGAGCAAAGCCGTGGCTAGCCGGATCGAAGAGCGGGGAAGGGCAGAGGGGGTTGGGGGAGAAAAGCAAGCCTGCTGATCGACAGAATCGCTGATCCCATTTGTCCGTGCCAAAGCCGCTCACGGGCGGCCAATCCAATTTATTTATTGGCTTTCGCTGCTGCTGCTTCTGTGCTACCGTGTTACCCCTCACCTCCGCGCACCATACCCTGTTGTACATATACTCTCAGCGAAACTGATGTCTAGCCTTTTTTTTTCTTTTTCTACCTCACGCTCTTTTCTTCTTATTCGTTTTTTAACCCTCTTGCCTTTTGCCCTTTCTTGCCCCCTCGACGAGTCTCTTGGGACGCTCTGTATGCTCGCTGATCGCTGTATCATTTTATCCTGCTGGTGCTGTTTGGGCTCGTGTTTTCCTCCACCGGTGTACTTAAACAGTGCGAGCGT